TGATGTCCGCGCTGGCCCTGTCCATTGCCGTCCTGTCAGGCGTCCAGGCTTGGCTCGGAACCTGGCTAGCATGCCACAGCTTCTCATACTTGCGAACCTCAGCCTCGACGATATCATGAGGATGTGCCGTAAGCCCTCCAGCAATGCGAACTACCGTAGGGCGGGGTGCATTGGGTACTCGGGTAGTGCGGTGAAGTCCTCGCGCACCATTGGACGATGCCGCGTCGCACCAGTCCTGCCACCGTCGGCGATCCTCTTTTACTTCATCCAGCTCGGCCTTCCGTGCATCAGATGCGATGTCTCGACGGTACTGCTCAAGAATTCCAGCAGCGGTGACTGTCACGGTGGAGCCGGTCTCGATCATCGTCCTGAGAGACGGTTCCAGTCTGGTCCCCGAGCTGCGCATTGATGCCAAAGAAATCGCCCTGGTCAATGTCAGGCTCGTCAAACTGATCAAGAAACAGGCCATCAACTTGCAGGCCTTCCTGGCCTGAAGGGCCAACCTCGACAGCGGCCGCAGGGGCCACTTCAGAGCGTAGATGTGCTGTGGACGGTGCTGGTAGCGGGCCTTGGGCTCCAGCTGCACGAAGTAAGGCATTACCTACAGCGACACGCGCCTCAAGAACACTGGCATCCAGACGTGCGCATAGACCCTGCCCGAAATATTCAGCGGTCGAAAACACATCCACCTCGGCTTCCAGACAAGGTACCGTAGTGTGCTTGAGCCTCATGAGCTTGCACAGGTTGTCCAGGGACTGCGATAACCATGTCCAGCCGCGAGAGATCGCCTTGGCTTCAGCAACTGTCTCGGGGCGGTGATTGTAATCAACCCATCTGGCTTTGGGTGGCGCTCCCCACGAGGCGCTGCTGGACGTACTCTGGCCAGTGACTGCACTAACCTCCTTCTCGGCGGCATGGGCGAAAGTAGCCCACGCTCGCGACAAAATGCACCATGCTTCACGGACAGGCTTCTGGCGACTAGCATCGACGGCCGCCTCAGCCATCACAGAAGGGTACTGCCAGTCAGAGCCTTCTCGTGCAGGACCAATGAAACGTTCGGTCCCATACTTCTTCGCCACCGTGTATACCATGTACTGCTGCCTTAGGCCTTCCGTGGAAAGGCCCGGTGAGATAGGTCGGCGAGGTCGTTTCGGCCATGAGGTGTCCACGTGGACGGATTCAAGCAACCTTTTGGCAACAGTGTTGACAGCAAAGAAATCAATCGCACGGCTAGACTTGGGTGTAATGCATGTGGGCAGGGACGGGGCCACAAGTACCATCTTGGCCTCTCTCGGGAAACCTGACTCCTCGATGTCCCTCGGCGTAGCACTCCAGTCGCCAGCCAGGACGACGGGGTCGGCAATCTCGGAGATCCGCGTGCCGATCTGAGCCAGGATGCGCGCATTCCTGCCCTTGATACCCTGGTTGACCACCAGGTAGAAGCAGACGATGTGCAACGGCGGCCAACCAGGAAGGTGCACAACTGCGTGCAGTGCGCGGCGATGGTGAAGGACAGCGTGGGCGCAACCTGGTCCCCGAAGTCCAACGTGATCCCTAGCAAGAATAGCAACACCCTGCGTGGGCGTTGTTCCCTTGGACTTGGCGCCAGGGCTGGTGAGACACTTCCACCCTCGACGACCTGCCCAGGCAACAAAATCATCATTATCATCATCATGGAATCCAACTTCCTGCGCGACGAAGATTGTCGCTGACGAAGCCTGTATATTTTCCTTCAGCGTGCGGATGCCACGGTTGGCGTTGAAGGATTCCACAAAGAACTGGCTTCTAGGGTCAGCATTCGGTGGTGGCCGAACTTGGCCGTGATGGGCAGGTAAGCTACTGACGAAAACAGGCAGATCAAAGGCGCTGCCGTTTATCTCGGTGCATGGCCAGTAGCTTGTCATGGAACTTCTGCATGAGGTCTTCGTTGCTGTCGGCAGGGTTGCCCCCTTTGACGAGCTCGAAAAGTGTCTTTGACTCCTCGAAAGTGGGGTCAAGGTCACGCTTGACGCCGCCACCAGAGGAGCCGTCATCACCAGGAGTAGGAGACTCATCAGGACTCTCAGCGGGCTGCTGTGGCATAGGGGCGTCCTCAGGCTCGGGCGCGGTTGCCTTCCGCACCTGGCCCTCGAGGTCCGCGAACAACTTGGCAGTGGTCTCCGCTCCGATGGACTCGAGGGCGGTACGGATCTCCTCGGGGAGCCCATCCTTGTCGAACTTGAAATCAGGGAAGAGGGACCGCTCTGGGGCGACGGCCTTGGCGGTCTCAGCGAACGGCTTCTTGTAGCCATCGATCTCCGCCTCCTTGGAGGTGATTGCGGCCCTCTTGTTCTCCAGTGCAGCCTGGAGATCATGAACTTGCTTGGACATCTTCTCAGCCTCGCGCTGGAGCTTGACCAGCTGCGATTGCGCATTCTTGAGCTTATCCTGGGCCCTGCGATGGGCAGCTTCAGGAGACTGGACACTCTCGAGCTGCACACGGAGGGTCTCGATCTCAAGCTGGTGCGCCTGCTTGACATGAGACGGCGGCGACGGCTCCTTGAGGGACTTTTCATAGAAGGCGATCGATGAGAGAATCTCCGCACGGGTAGCTCATGCATCCTTCGGTCTCTCAGCTCCTGTACCCTGGTCGGGCGTCGGGTCCTTGAGGCTTGCGTTGGCCAACTTGCGCTCGAGCGCGGCCACCTGCTTGCGGAGCTCCTCATTGTGGTCCCGTGCCCATGGCGCTGGTGTGGCACGACGGCCACCAAGCACGGGCTTCCTCCCTTGCACTTCCTTCTCAGCTCTGGCGTGTGCGGTCTTGACTGCGGCGACAATGCGAGCTGGGGCAGCGGTGCCGCAACGGCAGCGAACTCGGCACGCCCAGTTCTTGTCTGCGCCACAAATGCATCCCCGGTACGGCGACCTGGGGCCGCGCAGCACATCGGAGACGGGAGGCGGTGGGACCATGGGGCTCGCGAACCCTCCAGCTGCAGCTGGAGGACCCCTGAAGAATTGGATTGTCTGGCTCGGGAAACAGAGCTATCCCACTTTGGCACGAGGGCGCGGAAGCCCCCAAGTGCAAGCATCTTGAGCCAAAATGGCTACGGGGAGGAGGAGGGAGGAGGAGGAGGAGGAGGAGGAGGGAGGAGGAGTAGGAGGAGGAGGAGGAGGAGGAGGAGAAGGAGGAGGAGGAGGAGGCCACCGAACAGGCCATTCCTGCCTGAGGCCACTGCGAGCAGGAGGGCGAAGAGTCGCCGCTCCGCAGGGCGTGGGGACGCGTTCTGGCGAGGGCGGCGGGAGGGTAGATTGCCGCCGCCATGGTGTTCTTTAAATGTTGCCCCCCTCCCGCATCAAGAGCACCACCGCCACAACCACAACCACCATAATCATCATCATCATCATCATCATCATCATCATCATCATCATCATCATCATCAGCAGCATCAGCATAAGCATGCGCATCAGCATAAGCAGCAGCATCAGCATCATCATCAGCATCGTCGTCATCATCATCAGCATAATCATCATCAGCAGCATCACCATCATCAGCATCAGCATCATCATCAGCAGCAGAAGCATCATCAACAGCAGCATCATCAGCATCATTCCCATCACCATCAGCATCAGCATCAGCAACATCAGAATCAGCAGCAGCATCATCATCAGCATCGTCATCATCACTAGCACCAGCACCATCACCATCACCACACATCCCATCATCATCGTCACCATCATCAGCATGAGAATCATAATCAGCATAAGCAGCAGCATCAGCATCATCACCAACACCACCGTCACACAGTCAGAATCCTAACCATCACCATCGTCGGCCGTCCCAACATCAACAGCAGCAGCACCGTCCTCCCAAGAATCACTAACAGCGGAAACTGCATCAAGATAAGCAATCTCAACAACAGCAGCAGCAACCACAGCATCATAGTTGCCGTCAGTATCATTGCCATCACCACCACCATCATCACCATCATCATCAACAACATCAATACCATCAGCACCACCATCTTCATCATCAGCATCTGCATCTGCGCCTGCATCTATATCTGCATCTGCATCTGCACCGGCCGTCGCATCAGCTGCAGCAGTATTGTCATCTTACTCCTCGCATTCCTCCTCGTCCTCATCCTCCCAGATGTCCACGTTGTTCGTCCAGTTCCGTTCTCCTAATCCCTGACCCCTCCTACATCGTTTTCTTCCTCATCTTCCTCCCCTCGAACCGTGCGAGTGGATGACGTGATCGGTGATCGCTGAGGCCCGCGCGATCAGCCAGGCGATGAGGCTCAGATGAAAACCGACCGGCGGGGGACGGCCCGGTGAGGAGCGCCAAAGTGTTGCAGATGGCTACTTAGGAAAGATGCTCAAAGGGGGGGAAGGGAGGAGGCGGCAGGGGGAGGAGGCGGGATAAGGACGAGGAGGAGGAGGGGGTGGAGGAGGGGCCAGGGGGAAGAGAACGGAGGAGGAGGAAGGAAGGAAGTAGGGAGTGAGGATGGAGGGTTAGAGGGGAGGATGGGAGGGATGGGAGGAGGATGGAACGGAGGAGGGAAAGATGCTCAAAGGTTGCTGCCGGGGGCGAGGCACCTCTGGCCTGCGTCGCAGGGGGCGGCGGCACGTCGAGGGGGCAGCCGCGCAGGCACGCGGCGCGGAGACCACCGCGGGATCGTCGGATGCGCTCCCGAAAGGTCCTCGCCTTCGCGGGCCGCGGGGGTCGCCACCCTCCTCCTCCCTCCTCCCACCTCTTCTGCGGCGGAAGGTCGGCGGAAGGTCGGCGGAGGGCAGCGGAAGGGCAGCGAGGCGACCTCCGCCGGCGGAGGGCGGCGGCAGGCCGGCGGAGGCCGGCGGAGGGTGAGGAGGGGCCTCCCGAGAGATGGCAAGGCGTGTGTGGTGCAGGGTGCCCGGGACCCGCCAGTTGGACACGCGGTCGTCGATGCAAAAGCAGGCAGGGGAGAGCAAGAGTAGCCACCGGGGCGGCAGACCAGAGGTGTGCGCATTCTGGCCCTCTGGAGGTGTTCTTCAAGTTGACCCTCCCCCACGACGGCACGGTGATCAAGGCGAGCCACTGGTTGCGGCTTTGCTTTGCGGGGTACACAGTATGCCAAGTATTGCAAGGGGGTGTTATCATCTTGGTCGCGCGTCCGTCGACTACTCTGGTAGGGCTGTTACAGAAGACGTGCTGGGAGTTCCACACGCCGGATGGCATAGCCAGCACGGGCTTGTTGATTGAGGGTGCTGGAGTCTTGGCGAGAGAATACTGTGTCTGGGGACAGTGCATAGCCAGCGCACTTATGGATACATGGGGATGA